TCTTTCTCTTTTTATTATTTCTGCGTGCCCAGGCCCAATGAGGGAAATTTTTTCTTTTTTGGGGGAGAGGGGTCGTCCTGGTATTAGTCATAAAAAATATCTCACTAGTAAATAACAATGTTAAAATCAAACCCTAATATTTTAATTATGACAATAATAGGGTCATCTATAAGATATAAATCCATCCATCCATATACCAAAGCCATATTCCCCCTTATAAAGAGGGTGGCTGAGTCAAGGACAATACTTTGACTCTTTATGGGAATTAAATACAGAGGAGGGGATTCCCAGCCCCCTTGCTCCGCCCCATTTAATCGACTTTTACGACACGCAGGGGAACACGGAGGCAGTATTATTACCCCCTCCCTTAGGGGGTATAAGATATAAATACAAATGAATCTATTGAGAATCGATCCCTCAGTTATGAATATAATATATTTTATTCATTGTAATTTTAATATAGGCAATTCTTTTTTGTTGAAAAAAAAAAATGAGCAGAGCTAATATGTAGGAACAGAAAATCCTTGACATATTATAAAGAAACTACAAACTATTTGACCTTTATTTTCTAAAGCAGTTTAATACCAGAAGAAAGTAGACTGCAAAACTATAGTTGCCTGTTTCATTTCGTTTTCTTATTGGTACATACCCAGAAGCATTCTTCAAATGAAATTCGTGAGCAAATACGGATTGGATACATTTGTTTGACAGTAGGACTGTACCCAATTTTGTGGGTTATTGGCAAAAAATGGAAAAGAAATAATAATATATTTTATTTACTATACTAGGAAGTATTTGACAATAACAATATGTCTGCAAAAACAAGAAAGCGGGATCTCATTATTATTCATTGCTTTTTCGCGGCTACATTACTTGACTCTTAAACTGTATACTATAGTTGGTCTGGATCATACCTGAGAAATGTAAGCCGTGTTTGAGATACTCTGAAACTATGAAAATATATTTTATAGACATATTTAAGTGATATATGAGGATGAGCTTAAGATGGAAGCTCACTTTATTATTATTTATTGAGTCACTGGATAGGGGGAGAGGAATAGAGGACTTACCATCATCCTTTCTTAATTGCTTCATATATCTTGACCCTCGTTGTGCTTTATGGGAGCTAAGAGAGAAGAATGCTCTCTCTCTCTCTCTCTCTCTCTCTCTCTCTCTCTCTCTCTCTCTCTCTCTCTCTCTCTCTCTCTCTCTCTCTGTTCACACACACACACACACACACACACACACACACACACACACACACACATGGATTTAGATGTTCATAAAGCTACAGGTCCCGATGACATATCCCCTCATGTGCTTAAAAAATGCGCAAACACAATATCAGTGGCACTAAGTATCATATTTAAGGAGTCACTGGAGTCGGGGGAGATTCCAAGATACTGGAAACAAGCAAATGTGATACCTATCTTCAAAAAGGGAAGGAGGGATACGGCTCTGAACTATAGGCCTGTTTCCTTGACCAGCATAGTTTGCAAAGTTATGGAGAAACTACTAAGGAAACATATCTCTCTTCACTTGGAATCCTTCAACTTTTTGTCAGTGAGGCAACATGGCTTCAGAGAAGGTAGATCAACAGTAACAAACTTATTAGAATTTTATGATGAGGTAAGCCAAATCTTACAGGAAAGAGAGGGCTGGGCAGATTGCATATTCCTAGACTTCCAGAAAGCGTTTGACACTGTTCCACATGGGAGACTTATTAGGAAGCTGCAATCAATGGCTAGAATAGGTGGAAATGTTTTGGAATGGATAAAAACTTACTTAGAAGGAAGGGAACAGAGGGTTAGAGTAAGACACTCAGTGTCTGAATGGAGAAGAGTTAGTAGTGGAGTTCCACAGGGTTCAGTTTTAGGGCCACTTTTGTTCCTTGTAAATGTAAATGACCTACCAGAGTGTGTAAATTCATTCATGAATATGTTTGCAGATGATGCAAAGATTGTGAAGAAAGTAAAAAACGAGAACAATGGTAGAGAACTTCAGGAGGATCTAAATAATCTGCATGAGTGGTCAGAAAAGTGGCTAATGAAATTCAATACTTCAAAATGTAAGGTAATGAGAATGGGTACAAGTGCAAGAAGGCCCAAGCTTGACTGCTCGGTGGCTGGAGTACAACTTCAAGAGACAGAAAATGAGAGAGATCTAGGAGTAAACATACTGGCAGATTTGTCTCCAGAAATACATATAAATGGCATAGTAAGGGCAGCATATTCATTCTTATCAAATGTAAGGGTAGCCTTCAGGCACATGGACAAGGAAATGTTCAGAAATATTTATGTAACCTATGTGAGGCCAAAACTGGAATATGCAGCCCCCTTTTGGAATCCGCACTTGAAAAAGCACATAGCTAAGCTTGAAAAAGTTCAAAGACATGCCACGAAACTGGTGCCAGAAATACGCAATCTCAGTTATGATGAGAGGCTGAGGGAATTAGACTTACCATCACTCGAAGCTAGAAGAGTGAGGGGGGATATGGTGACAGTCTTTAAATTCCTTCATGGTTATGATAGAGTGGATAGGGATCGATATTTTGATATGGCTGGCTCTAGAACTAGAGGTCATAGTTTGAAGCTTCGTAAGAAAACTTGTTTGCAGGATGTAAGGAAATACTTTTTCAGTGTAAGAGTAGTTGATAATTGGAATTCGCTAAGCGAGGAGGTAGTTAATGCTATCTCAATCCATAGTTTTAAGGACAGGTATGATAAGTATCACTAAGTCTAAAATGGAACCGATCAGGAGACGGGAAGATACGAGCTTTGGGCTCTTTCCCGTAAACACAATTAGGTAATCACACACACACACACACACACACACACACATATATATATATATATATATATATATATATATATATATATATATATATATATATATATATATATATATATATATATATATATATATATATATATATATATATATATATATATATATATATATATATATATATATATTGTGTGTGTGTGTGTGTTATCAATCTACAGCTATCTATCTGCCCATTTATCTATCTACTTTAACCTTTGTTCCTGCCGTTGTCACATCAACATGGAGTGAGTGCAGGATTAAAGAAACTGCGGGATCCGGATAGTGTACCTTCTCTAAATAGTCTGCTTCTGTCAATATTTTCTTTCTGTTGGAGAGATTCTCCCCTTTGCTCTGTGTATCTTGGAGTTTCCAGTTTCTTCCGAATTTATTTCTTATTTATTTTATTTTTAGGTAAATGTGGGGTAATGAGTTTGTCGGCTTTCTTTGATTGAGGGTATTATTTCTTTTGGATTAGACCTATCTTACTATCTTTAATTTTTAATTCCCTCAGGACTCCTGAGTCCTTTTTGTTTTTACTCCCTAAGTCATTGTTATTTTACACTCACTTGTGCTTGAGATGGGGTCCAGTTAGGATCCGAAATATAGCGTTATTTTTTCTATGTGTTGCTACACTGATGAGCTTCCTTACCATATAGTGCTGTATGTTAACAGTTTATGCCTATTCATATATATATATATATATATATATATATATATATATATATATATATATATATATATATATATATATATATATATATATATATATGGCATTTTTTTTTTATTCTTTATCGCAATGGAACTTACGAAAGGATGTATTATGCTTCCAGTTTCTTCCAAAGTGATCCTGTTGCCACAAGAGATAAGTGGATTTTCCTTGCATTGAAGCTAGTACGTTTTTTTCCCAATTGGCTTTGGGGGAAATTCAATAAAAGACGAATTGGTGTAAATCTATTTCCTGGAAATTCGTAGGATTTTTTTTGTTAAATCCATTTATAAATTATATGTTATCACTTCCATATTACAGATTTTTTTAGTTTTTAAGATTTTTGTGCGGTTTGGATTTATCATAAATAGTTATATGTATGTATATATGTGGGTACGTACTTATATGTTTGCACGTATGTATGTATGTAAGTGCATACATACGTACTTATGTCTATATGTTAGTAGGAAGGTAAATTTGTATATATATATATATATATATATATATATATATATATATATATATATATATATATATATATATATATATATATATATATATATATATATATATATATATATATATATATATATATATATATATATGTGTGTGTGTGTGTGTACACACACACACACATATATATATATATATATATATATATATATATATATATATATATATATATATATATATATATATATATATATATATATATATATATATATAACCAATAAGCACATTACATATGTGAAAGCATGAATAATTTTTACCCCGACAGGGAATTGAACCTAGGACTTATAATTACTAAGCCAAGGCGCTACCAACTACACCACGGAAGGTTAAAAGGAAACAGGCCTTATAGCGTATATCTGGTATACTAGGAATGAATGTATTCTATCTGAATGCCACTATGTTCATATTTCAGTTTCCCCAACCTCACTCGTGTTTCGTTTTCGCATTTAATTCAACTCCCAACTCATTCGGGGCCAATAATAACCAAATAAGCACATTACAGATGTGAAAATATGAATCATTTTTACCCCAGCAGGGACATGAACCTAGGACTTATAATTACTAAACCAAGGCGCTACCAATTACACCACAGAAGGTTAAAATGAAACAGATCTTATAGCTTATATTTGCTAAACTATCTGAATGCCACTATGTTCATATTACAGTTTCCATAACCTCACTCGTGGTTTCATGGTGTAGTTGGTATCGCCTTGGCTTAGTAATTATAAGTCCTAGGTTCAAGTCCCGGTCGGGGTAAAAACGATTCATATTTTCGCATATGTAATATACTTATTTGATTATTGTTGGTCCCGAATGAGATTGGGAGTTGAATTAAATGCGAAAACGAAACCACGAGTTAAGTTGGGGAAACTGTAATATGAACATAGTGGCATTCGGATAGAAAGCGTTCATTCCTAGTATAGCAGATATAAGCTATAAGGTCTGTTTCCTTTTAACCTTTGTGGTGTAGTTGGTAGCACCTTGGTTTAGTAATTAGAAATCCTAGGTTCAAGTCCCAGTCGGGGTAAAAATGATTCATATATATATATATATATATATATATATATATATATATATATATATATATATATATATATATATATATATATATATATATATATATATATATTTACCACACTCCTCGACACACAATTATTTCTCCCACCGCCCGTGTAATTCAAAATTGATGGGCATGTTGACAACATATGTTTTGGGAAAACAATAAAAGCTTTGCAAACACCGTTGATATGGTCGGGTGGAGGGACTGATGACAATCATGAATGGACGGATGGAGGAGTACTTAATGGAATTTTAATAGTCAATTGAGCTACATATTCACGAAGAGGGAATAAAAAAGAGAGAGAGAAATGCAATCTAAAATGGAAAATATTGTGGTTGTATAAATACAGTGTTATTATATGCTTATAAATAAACCTGCCCGTGTGTGTGTGTGTGTGTGTGTGTGTGTGTGTGTGTGTGTGTGTGTGTGTGTGTGTGTGTGTATGTTAGGAAAAGATCCATTAAAAACACAACCTGGAAAATCTTCAAAGTACTTATGAATTTCGTGACTTAAACTGGTCACCTTCTTAAAGTACAATGCTTTGAGAAGGCGACCAGATCAGTTCACGAAATAGATAAGTACTTTAAATATTATCCGCGTTGTTTTCTTTAATTGGCCTTTTCTTACCAATATAGACTGCATGATCACAGTTCAGTATTATTCATATATATATATATATATATATATATATATATATATATATATATATATATATATATATATATATATATATATATATATATATATATATATATATATATATATATATATATATATATATATATATATAGTTGTTATAGAATGTTTTTATTAAAGTGCGTTTGATGTAGACGTAAAGGCAATTCTTTTTTTTTCTTTCAGGATGGGATAGGATAGGTGGGAAAAAAAGGGGAGGGAATTAAGGATATAGGGGAATTGGAGGGAAAAGCACGAAAATTAAATAAAGTCAGAGAAAAAAGAGAGGGGCAGACCCCCGCGCTAAGTCCCGATCTGAAATTCAGATTCTAAGGCAATTCTAACAATACGAATATTTAAATGCATAATAATAGATAATGTATGCACAGGGACTCTCTCTCTCTCTCTCTCTCTCTCTCTCTCTCTCTCTCTCTCCTCTCTCTCTCTCTCTCTCTCTCTCTCTCTCTCTCTCTCTCTCTGTACGTGTGTGTGTTCAATAGATCGAGAGCTTATCTTTTTTTCGTTTTGATTCACAATAAAACTCATTTCCAGTTCCGTGAGCTTTATTGGGCTTAAATAGCACCGATATTAGATGAGAAATGAAGACCATTGGCATGTTCGAGTTGTTTATTCTTTGCTTTTCCTCAGACTCACATAAAAGAGACGATTTTATTTTATAGGTACCGTACATTCTGATAGGAAGTTATATGTGAATAGAAGCTACCGGGTAACATTGGGTATTTATTTAACTTGTAATAGGTTGGCCCGTGGCATCAGCCGCCCGTTGCGATGTTACAGCTGAAAGACATCTAGACTTTAATAGGGCTGTCTTGGGCAGCTCGATGTTAAAGTCTTCCTTCTGTTACGGTTCTTTTCCTATGCCTACATCTACACAGAATATTCTTGAATATTTGTTACACATATCTTTTTATCCCTTCACATCTGACAAGTCACAACACTCCCATCTCTCTTCCTCTTTGCTATATGTTTCTTCGTACCCAGACCCTATGAGGGCAATTTTCTTTGTTCGTCCTGGTGTCACACTCATGAAGAAAATACGATACTATATATTTTTTAAATGGCAATAAATATAAAATAGTGTAGGTTAGAGGTGAAATTTTGTGAAGTAGATAGCTCTACAGCAGCGTTTCTTAACATGGGGTACTAGCACCCCTGGAGGGTACTGAATTAAACTCTAGAGGTAAGAGTGATAAGTAGTGATTCTTATATATTTGTGGCTCTTAGTTTTAAGGATATAGGCCTATTTATAAGTATTAGCGTAAAAATCTAAGACCTACCAGGGGAGTGGGAATTACGATCATATGGCTTATTCCCGTAAGCCTAGTTAAGTGGATTAGATTAGGAAAGTACACATATGCATTACTACGAATAAAAGCATATATAAGTCTTAAAGAGTAAAAATCTAAAACTTATCAGGGGACTGAGCGTTACGAGCATATGGCTCTTTCTCATAAGCCTAGTTACGTAAAGTAGATAAAGAAAGTACACATATGCGTTACTACGAATATAGGTACATCCCCAGGGGTTGCATGTTAACAGCAACCTCTTCAAAGATCAGTGAATATTTTTTTTTATGTTTAGAAATATATCTCTGTCATAGCATTAAAATATTGCCTGCTAAATATGAGAATACTAGAGTGAATGTGTACAGATCAGTGTAAATTCAGAAAGACAAAGTTTCAAGAGATAGTTAAGGAAGCAAAGTAAGGTGTTGGTATCTTGCATATTGGATGCCTAGAAGATTGAAAACCTATAAAAATGATGCCTCTTGTATGTGTTGCAAATTCTTGACAAGTGTCAAAGTAATTGAAGACTCAAACAGACTTTTAAAATTGGGTTTCAGTTCTTTCTCTTACATCCCTAGTGATTGAAGACTCACTTAGACTTATAAGATTCATTTCAGATTCTTGATATAGACTGAAAGTGATGGAGAACTGTTAACATTTGTTGTTTTTGATCGAAATCATGTCTTGCATCCGTAATGACTGGAATTCAGTTAGTTTGGAACTCTTGCTATTTATTTACAGTAATAGAAAACTCATATAAAATTCAGAATTTTATTTCATAACTTCCCTTTGCCTTCAAGTAACAGAAAAGCCTCTCAACCCATTCGGAATTTATTTTTGAAGTTTAGGATACTCTCAAATGGCTCTGGTTAAGAGACCTGAAGACAGGCGTTATATCCAAGTCACTAACATGGTCGTAAGAGACACCAATTCTACACGAACTTTCATAATTTATTTCCATTCTTTCATATTAATTTTTGAGCTTCTGTGGATGATTCTATAAACTCCATTGGGTTCAAATAGAGTTGCATTGGTCTGGTGATACTTATTAAAACTCCTATTAATACTTTTGATGATCGGGTATTATTTCTATGCCTACATCAACACCGAATATTCTTGGATATTCGTTACACATGTCTTATTATCCCTTCACATCTGACAAGTTACAATACTCCCCATCGCCATTTCTCTTTATATTGTCTTCGTGCCCAGGCTCGATGAGGGTAAATTTATTTTAATTTTATTTTTGGCCTGTCCTGGTGTCGCAATGATAAAAAAAAAAAGTCTGGACAGACTCATCCATGGAAGAAAGCTTAGGAATTCGATCATTGCCACTGCTTATTTTTATCGTCATATACAGAAGAGAATAAACTCAAGCCACAAACCATTTGTGATATGCAGAGAGAGAGAGAGAGAGAGAGAGAGAGAGAGAGAGAGAGAGAGAGAGAGAGAGAGAGAGAGAGAGAGAGAGAGAGAGAGAGAGAGAGAGAGAGAGAGAGAGAGAGAGAGAGAGAGAGAGAGAGAGAGAGAGAGAGAGAGAGAATCATAATAAAAGAGACAAAATATTTCAGGACACAGATGTATCATTGAGTTTCAATAGTCTTATTGTTATGTATTATGACAGTCTGCTGAGAGTTTTAACAGCCTTATAAATGAACTGTTATAACATTATAGTTAGAGGTATATTGCATCATTGTGATTACTAAACTACATTGTCTCTTATTATAGAATGGAATTAATATTGCATCCCTTCTGATCCATACTCTATCGCTGTTTTTCTTGACAACAGTATGACAGGAATTCATATGCAAGCAACCGAGGCAGTGATAACACATTCATTGTAGACAGACTTTGTAGCTCTGCAAGGCTGCATCATGTCTCGTTAATGTATTGCAGACAGTTGCCTCAAATGTATGAGTTGCAAATGTGAATAATGAGTGTTAATTAACTCGAGGAAATGGTTTACATAAGAAGAATGGGCCTGTATTTCAACTCGCAGGATAAATTCTTGGAATCGATACTCTTTAATTTACGAAATGTTACGGCAAGATTATTCATGATGCTGGGTGCTGTACTTAATTAGTAATGAGAGCAAGTTTGTAAACATAATTTGCTTTAGATATTTGTATTTTTTTTTTCAAAGACGGAATTAGTGTCTGATAGTTTTATATATTTTCTAAAATAATAATCTGATCTGTTTGACTTTTGATATTTAAATTAGAGTTGTATATTGCAATTTATTTTATCTTAAAAGCTATGTATGTCATGCACTGCTCTGCTGCGTTAAGTGTGTGACGGCTATAGTTGACATTATCAAAGCCAGAGATCAAAAGTTGTTTTATCTCTGTAGATCTATATTCTTTGTTTATTTATATTTAGCATACCGTAGTTTGAGTGTGTGCAGGTACAGTCAATCCGCGAATTGTAAGTTATTTATCTTCTGTTACTGGTACCATATATATATAAGTGTAAAATACATCATAAAAGAGCAATGGCATTTTTCAGTTTTCATATGATTTCCTTCTTTATTAAAACTATTCTCCGTAGAGTCAGCTTGAATAATGGAGAGAACATGTATATTGCATATATTTTAATAGTGTAAAATGCTCACATACTCTCTCTCTCTCTCTCTCTCTCTCTCTCTCTCTCTCTCTCTCTCTCTCTCTCTCTCTCTCTCTCTCTCTCTCTCTCTCTCTCTCTCTCTCTCTCTCTCTCTCTCTCTCTCTCTCTCTCTCTCTCTCTCTCTCTCTCTCAATATATATACACTTGTCTATACACATTCATAGACACATATTACCTTCCAAGTAGCAGTTATAGTCAAGTATGCACATAATCATCGTAGTGTTGAGCTATGCAAAAGGTAATTTATAATTCTAGGTTTATGATGTGGAGCTTACCTTTTATAAGATACTAATAAAAAAGAAAAACTAATAACTTACTGACAAAAAAGAAAACGTTACACGTGGCAGCGGCAGGATCGTATTT